CTCACAGAGAGAAGAGCAAAGAGGAGATAGTCTGTAGTGAATTACTTTAAATTGTGGGTAAGGGTAGATAGCCCCCATTGTTCTGTGACCTGTCAATCATCAAACCGGGGGTCATATTTCATTATGTGTTCATTTTTATCTGAAGTTGTACCCATGGATGTATAAAGAGTAGTTCTACCTCAAAGTTATTCTCCGTGGGGACTTCCGGCAACAATCTTGATTCTGATTGGCCAGAAGACTCGGAAAAACATCAGCAAAGATGTTTTATTGAGAAGATGATCACTACGTGACAGAAGTTTTAAAAAAGTTTATGGTCTCCGGCATTTCCAGTCAAACGGCTACTGCATGCGTAGTTAGAAAATCGGGCCTTCAAAATAAAGATTTAACTTTTTTCAAGAAAAAACTCGCACCCACTCGAAATGGGTACCCACCAGTTGGGAACCACTGCTCGAGACGTCAGTGAGCAGCCTCAAGCTACCCAAGGACCCCCGAAGCTCATATGAACCCAATCACATGGTTGAAAATCACTGATGTTAGTGTTCTAGGGTTAATAGATACAATATACAGCCATTTATTGGAACATGTGCACCAAATGTGTCGGGTTCAGGGGTTGACAATATGATAAATCAGACTGATCCCTGGTTTTTAGGCTGAAAAAGGGATACACTGCGTCGGATAAGGACAGTTACCACAGGGCTAAAGAAGTCTTTGAAATTAAACCAAAAACAACCCTTAATTTAGAGTTTTTTAACAAATAAGCGGTCCTTTTTTAGCTGAATTCATTTCATAGTTACCGTATGCTTTTAGTATTTAAATTACATAAAGTCAAACAGTTTCATCAAGTCAGGTTACTTTACTCAACAGTAAGGAATTGCAAACAGGATTACACATGGAAGATATTAAAAACAAACAGGCAGGCATTTACCCCTTAAACCAGGGGTGGGGAAGCTTTTTCCTCTCAAGGGCCATTTCAATTTTTACAACATCCTCCGAGGGCCGTACAAATTATTGACCTCTGCTTAAAAATACTAAAATCACAGCCCATTCATTTGGCCTTTCTTTCATGCTGTGCAAAGAAAAAGCAACCTCTTAATCCAGATATCTAACCATGACTCGCGCATGCATTCACGTGCATGGTTGTGGCATGATCACCAAAACAGAAAGTTATTTTTTAAATGTTGAAGTTAAGAGCATCAATCTGGTGCACTTTGAGAGCAACATTAGATCTATGGATACATCTCTCAACACCCATATGAAACAGAACTGTAAGCAGATTTTATTTTTCTTTATGGATATTTTACAAATCACTCTCCTTTCAAACTGTATTCTTGTTTATTAATAACAACTTTTTTTACTGTCATATTAGTATTGTATACCTGTTTACTTTATTCTCTTATTTTTCTATAACTATAATGATCATATAAAGATGTGCCTTTACCTCACTGGTTGGAGAAACAGCTTCTTATATTCGTTAGCATAGCTAGCTAACCAGATGCTAATAACAACTAAGTTATTGACTGTATGATTAGTATGACAGATGAACAGATCGCAACTGGGCTTTCAACTAAAGAGACAGCCACGCAAACACTGCGGCATGTGTACAGCTCCTTATGGGTATTGCAATTTGTGAAGTCCCAGCCCGGAGCCGCGTTCTGGTGCTCTCCGTTAGAACTACACTCCTGTCAGACGAGACATATACCACGTGATGACACGTTAGGCTCGTGTTGTGTTCAAAGACCCTGACCTTGGCTAGGAAAAACAAGCTTGTTTAATTATTTTGCGGGTCTAGATTTCTTGAATTTTTTTCTTTTTTGCGTGTGTTTATAAATTACCTCGAGGGCCGTACCAAATGGTCTCGCGGGCCGTATATGGCCCGGAGGCTGGAGGTTCCCCACCCCTGCCTTAAACAGATACACGGAAATGTTTTTTAAACTGTTGCTGAACATGTTTCCCCTCAGCTCTCTGGCCCCGGGGACCCGGCCCCCCACCCCTCTGCACAGCCTCAACAGAGGGGAGGACGTCCTGGAGTACTACATCAGAACCTTCTACCCCTCGTCCCCCCTGTGAGTCCCCTCTCTGCCACATGCTGTTAACTCTCATGTCCATTTTCCTTCCTTATCTGTAGGAGAACCAATATATTCTAATCCGATCTGCTCTCCATCTTCACACACAGGGCTCTGCAGTTGGTGTCCTCTCCCAGTAAGCTGACACCACCTTTCCCTCGGATATTCTCCCCGTCCCTCGGTGCCCAGGGCTTCCTACAGAGCCAGCCTCCTCCACGTGGATGTAAGCAGATTTGTGTTCTTTTTGTAGCTTAAAGGGACGGTTTCAGAAGTCAAAGTAGTAATTAAACAGACAGGAGGGCCAGCAGTGAAGCAAAGCGAGGCCCTGCTGTGGAAGGGGGCCGCAGCACAACGTGTTAGATGTGCCTTGACTGAGGTAAAGGCACATCTAACACGTGCCTGAATTTGAATTGAATTGATCTGTGCTCTCTGCAAAGCCATCGGACTCCAAAAACAGTCATTTTATCTTCTCCTGGAACACGTGAGTTGCTGCTGAAACCAGGGGTTAGCCTGGGCCCTGTCAACGGGTTCAGGATGTTATAAAGGATTTTTAATGATTAATTTAAACTACAAGTAATTATAAAATATAAGTAATTATAAAGGTCTCCTATCATGCAAAATGAACTTTTTGGTGTCTTTTATACATAAATGTGTGTCTCCGGTGTCAGGGAACTCACAAAGTGTCAGAAAAGTAAACCCTCTCTCTTTTCCTCCATACCCAAATCTCTAAAAACGGGGGTAGAACGTCGCTATCAGAAACAATGCGCAACGTGTTTTGGACGTAATATGGTCTTTGTTTACATTAGCAAGGATCACTAACACTCAGAGCTAACTTGTACTGGAGAGAGTATGTGTAAAAAAGCAGGAAATAAAAAAAGAACTCACCTTGTGGTAAACCCGCAAGAGAAAAGGCGTTTGAGCTCCATACTGTTTCATAAATAATCCGTGATTTTTATTTATCTGAGACCTATAATATATGCCTACAAATAGTATGATAGGAGACCTTTAAGATATTGCACAACTTTATAGATACCCAAAACCATTCCATGACTTTCAATGGGCCTTTTGCAATAACCTGTTCTTTTTAGCTCGGGTAATAAAACCGGCGACCTTCTCTCCCTCCCTTCCTCTGCAGCTCCGGCCCCGGTGGTCTCCTCGGCCCCTGTCATGACGTCCCTCCAGTCCTCCACATCGCTCGGCTCCTGGCTGGCCGAGATGCATCGCGGAGCCAGCACTTTAGACATCTGCCGCGTGGCCCCCAGCTTCCTCTCCCAGGGGCCCGAAATGGCCGACTACAGGGAGGCCCTGGAGGAGCTGCGACTACTGTCCCGGTGTTACCGCGACGACAGCATGATGCACTCCTCGTCAGAAGAGAGTGATGATTACTGATGCTGGTAGCTTTCTGGTCGTGATTTGAATAGACTGCTAACGCATCAGCCCGCATGCACACACACACACACATGCACAGCAAGAAGAGGAGCGGGGCCCCTTGTTTGATTTATATAACAGAATTAAGTGAAGTGTCAGATGAGGGAATATTAGAAGGTTAGACCACATTGAGGTGATGAATGTAGCATCATGTGACTGTATGGACTGTGGTTACATTTCCCTAAATTACTGTTTAACTGTAATGAAATGTGTTTTTTATACTAAGTATACATAAAAAGATTGTTTTTTTACGTTAAGTTGCTCCTGTTTTGGGCACAGGTTGCCCTATGAATTAACATGAATAGCACATGCAAAAAAGTAACCAGCAGCCAGAAAAAGCAGAAGGATGCTCTCATATTCAAGTAAAAGACGGCCACCACAAATGCTTGGTTTCCTCTTTTTTTTACAAATTAGAATGTGTCACACAAACTGTTTAAAATGGTTTCCTGTTATTAATTCTGACAAGTGATTTTCTTATTTAAAAAAAGACCGTAGCTAACTGTCATGATTTCTGCCACTGGCATTCAGCATCAGGCACATTTAGTTCTTAATGAAAACAGGTCATTGAAATATGTAATGTTGCTGCAGTTGGAGTACATATTGAATTTGTAGTTTGAATATTTTCAACCTAGGACGTCAGAATTCATATTAGTTGACGGTTTCTATTTAGTGTGAATGCTGTGCAACAGCACTAAAATATGTAACTCAATGGGAGGTACCTTCAAATCCTCTTTTACCTACACCTTGCGCCAAATGTTTCTCCTTCCACATACTTTCAGCTAGACTTCATTCCAACTTTAAAATGATCAAAAGACCCTCAGCTATACAACTTCTTCAGATTTTTCATATCTTCTACACTTTGAGATATTTAACTTATAGGCCTGTGACAAACAGCCAAAAAGGGCTTTAGTTTTCGAGATACCCCTCCCGGAGTTAGGACAAAACACAACTTACTTTTTCCTCATCTCTAAGGCCTCCCATACATGAAATGGATTGTTGTATAAAAATATTTTACTGCAAAAGTGGTGAAATTGATATATAAAGTTAGACACCCCAAACTAAAAATAAAGCCTGGCCGTCTGGGGGTTGAGGCATATAAACTCATGTAGATTCACAATGGAAGGTCTGATAGGTTTAAAACTTGGCATACCTGAGGTCAGGACATCCCTCTGCATTATAGAAAAGACTGAATGTCAATATCTTAATGTAAATTGGAGATACAGTCATTTGAACACATACCTACAATAGGCGGAGATGTAAATCTGTGTAGAATGTTCTCTTTACTTTGTAGTGACTCTGACATGGATTGCCATAGCAACACATATAAGGGCTTGTTGGAAAGGTGTGGTTCTACTAAATCCAGCAATAATAATTGTGTTAAGGTAGCTTACATACTCATGGAGTTATGTCACTAAACGTATAAGGTGTCCCAAATGGGGAAAATATGAAATAGTCCTAATTAAATCTATAGTATCACCAATTAGTTTTATTTTGACTTCACTTATCAGGGGTGGAAAATATTAACA